GTCACTCTTTGTAGGAGTGAGTGAGGGGTGGAGGCTGACCCGGCCTAACACAGCTCTGATGCCAACTCCCCACCGCCTCCCCAACCCTGCTAATGCCTTCCTTTTCCAAAGGAGAGGGGAAGCTTATTCTTTGGATATAGCTTTATGGATGTTGATTTTATAAAGCAAAGTCCAGCGTTGCCATTGCCCGTGTAACCAGTGTGTTCCTTTCCCCAGCCCTGGTGTGGATGCCCCCGTCGCCTGGCCTGTGGAGACTCAGTTGCGTTTTAATGGCGGCAGCAGCTGCTGGGTGAGCAGCCGGAGATTGTGCTACCCTCCCGGCAGGAGGGCAGGAGAGGAGAGGAGAGAGCGCCCTCCTCCTCGGGCACCGCCGCTGCATTGGTGGCCGTGTTTTTCCCTCTTTACCCCTCCACTCTTGAAGAGAGAAGAAGATGCCACTGCCCATTCGGATTGAAACTCAAACGCACCCGGCGCTACACGGTGTCCAGCAAGAGCTGCCTGGTTGCCCGGATCCAGCTACTCAATAATGAGTTTGTGGAGTTCACGCTGTCTGTGGAGAGCACAGGTCAGGAGAGCCTGGAGGCTGTGGCCCAAAGGCTGGAGCTGCGGGAGGTAAGCCACAAACAAGCCTGCTGGCTTCTCTCCTTACTTCCCAGCCACTTGAATGGATGCCGTCTGCGCGTTCTCAAACACATGTCCCTGGCCATGATATCTGAATTAGCCTGCAAGCCCACAGTCCCAGGAGACGGAATATACAGAACAAGAGGTCTTTCCTTGGGGGTAAGAGAGAAAAGAGAATGCACAGTGCCTGAGGTTTTTTTTAAATTTTAATATTTTTATTGATTTCAGAGAGGAAGGGAGAGGAAGAGATAGAAACATCAATGATGAGAGGGAACCATTGATTGGCTGCCTCCTGCATGTTGGACTGAGTCCTCAACCCAGGCATGTGCCTCTCCCCACCACCAACAGAATCAAACCTGGGACCCTTTAGTCCGCAGGCCGACGCTCTATCCACTGAGCCAAACTGACCAGGGCTACAGTGCCTGAGTTTTTAAAAATGTTTATATGTTCACCCATATGTCATTAAAAATCAAATATGAATGCATTTTAGATGATCAAGTTTCTTTTTTCTAATATAATCCCAAATGGGGGTCATCCTGATCTATACGTGTACTGACTTCATTCATTCAACATTCATTGTTTTCCCCGGGCCAGGCCAAGATTATTGCTTGAGTTTGAATTCTGGTTGTTTAACTTGGGCAAGCTCTGTGACCTCTCTGGGCTCCAGTTTCCTCATCTGAACCATGGGGATAGCAAGGGTTATCCTCAGAGGGGTTGTGTGATTTGCTGTGCTAGTAAAGCCAAGCTCTAATCACTAGTCTGCTATGGTAACCATAGGGAGGTTAGCCCTGGAAAAACCCCTCATCTAGTCAATAGGAAATTGTAGAGTCCTCAAGTATCACCCAGTGGCTTCAATTTAAAGTGCTAGGTAAGGCCTTTGATGAAAAGGGCTCTAATTAAACCTAGGATCCTTCC